CCCACGGGCGTGCTGCGGGAGGCCGGCTCGCCGGGGCTGTCGCTGGTGGTGTGGGCCGTCTGCGGGGCCTTCTCCATCGTGGGTGCCCTCTGCTATGCCGAGCTGGGCACCACCATCACCAAGTCCGGCGGGGACTATGCCTACATGCTGGAGGTGTACGGCTCGCTGCCCGCCTTCCTCAAGCTCTGGATAGAGCTGCTCATCATCCGGCCCTCCTCGCAGTACATCGTGGCCCTGGTCTTTGCCACCTACCTGCTCAAGCCCATCTTCCCCACCTGCCCGGTGCCCAACGAGGCCGCCAAGCTGGTGGCTTGCCTCTGTGTCCGTGAGTACCCGCAGGGCCCTGCGCCCTTCCCCTCGCCTCCTGCCTCCCCCAGAGCCTGGTGCCTTCAGCCCCGTCCCCTCTCTTGGCAGCGTGCTTTGCCAGCATGCGCCTCCCGAAACTGGTTTTGGGTCGTCACGAGGAGGACGCCTGGCCCCACGCTAAATAGACTGGGGGTCTGGGCAATTTTTGCTGCAGTTATGGGCTAGTGAGCGTCCACGAGCGCTTTCTGGAAACTCGGCGAGTGATGCAGTGCAAGCTGCGTTCTGTTTATGCGTTGGGGTGAGATTTCTCGTGCCCTCGTGCAGCAGCCTGTCAGGGAGGGTAAAATGCCTTCGTAACGGTACCGTGCTACAGGACTATGCTGACTGGGATGGGCACTTGTGCGTAGACCTAGATTACAGTAACGTGCAATTGGGAAATGATCAGTCATGAGCAGCTCGTGCTGAACGGGGCCTCTGCTGCAGCGCTTATCTGTTTTCAGCACCTTTTTTAAGATGAGCTGTTTTCTAGGTCTGCATGTGCTGACACCACGCTAGCAACCTGTTGTTGCTCGTGAGAATTATTTGTCGTGACGAGCAGGCTCACAGGGAAGCTCGGTTGTGCTGTGATGAATTTGAGGCCACTGATGTCTGCCTTGGCCCCCAAATCTCCCTCTCCTGCTGCAGTTCTCCTTGCTGGTGTTCTGAAGTCTGCAGTTTTGCCAGTGAAGCCCCATTTACCGTTCCTCCAGTAATCACAAGGGCACCCCAGCCAAATTCCATACTCTTTAAATACAGGGCCATTTTCTGCCTTTCTTTCTTCATTCCCCTTGTGATCTGTTTCACTCACGCTGTGTTTCATTGTATTGCACTGGTAGTTGGGTCAGATTGTCGAGATGCGTATTTGGGAGAAGATATACTTTTTTTGTGAGAGCTTTATTAAGGGTTTATTTGGTACCTGAAGTTGTAAATGGGTGTGTTTTGTGATTATTTTTTCTTTTTTTTTTTTTCCCTTGAGCTTATGAAGAGAAGTCTACTTATTTGGGCTGTCCAAATGGCAGTTTTGTTAGATTCCTTCACCAGCTTGGGATCACGGGCACTCCAGAGTTGCAGCACATGGCCATTGTGGGAAGATATATTCCCTGCAAATCTCTACGTGCGCAGACTGAGTCTTACATGGATATATTATATGATTAGCTCGCAGATCTAATAACCAAATAACAAGCAGGGCAGCAAACTCTGCTTTCTTTTGGCAAGACTGAAACTTATTCCCCAGATACATTTTTAGGAAGGTCCAGGCAGTAGGCAGTCCGCAGTAGGCAGGCACATCCATCTATATTTTTAACAAAGTGCAATGTAGTTGTCCTGTAATAAGGACATACAGTCACCCAACTAAGAAAGATGTAGCAAGATTAGAAAATAGTTCTGCTGATTGGTTTCTTGGAGCAAGTAGAGCCTTGTGGAAAATCTACTTTTATAGCTTTGTTGCTAGTTTGCAACATGATGTCTTCAGTGGCAGAGAGAAAAGGGGCATATGTGCCTGTGGTGTTCGTATTATTTATTTGCTGACAGAATTAGCAAGATGATTAGATGTACTTTCTTATTGTCTTATGTCAAAGTTTTGCTGTGCAAGAATGTAATGTAGTTGACAAAATCTTTTGAGAATGTATTTCTAAGAATAATGATTAACTTCTCATCTGCAAGAGCTTTCCCAAAATACTTGGCAGTAGGTGTCTCTGTTCCCATTTTACTCATAAGAAAACAAATACAAGGGTAGAGTAGACTTGTCCGTTGCAAGATCTGTTCGGGACAGGGTGGATTACAGCATGAGACGGACCTCTTGATGCCGGTCTCCTGCCTGCTTTTGCAGTGAGTGATATTAGTGTCTCCAACGTTCTAATGCTCCCAGTTAGTAGTTTCCCTGAAGCAGAATTTGTTCTTGAACCTTTACCTTGAAATGCTCAAGGAAGGAGTTTCGAGTTTGACAAATCTGCGTCATTTCCATGTGTTTCTTCTTTAAACTTTACTCTCCCCCACTGGCTGCTGTTTTGTTTATGCTTTGGATTAAATTTTTGTTTGTCTCTTTTGTTTTAAAAGGTCAGTTCATCATGTGTTGCCTTCAGCAAGTTAGTTTGCTGTAACTTTGCTTTTTGGAGTTAGCTTTTCTACTGTCTGGTGCCAAAACCACATCACGAATAGGAACAGCAGATGAAGTAAATCTGGTCACGTAAAGCTTCTATGGACTAACAGGTGGATTTGTTACGTGGTTGTTCCCAACATCCCCCTAGTCCGTGAGAATTTTTTTCAAGAGCTCTAGGATAGGAAAAACTGCCTGTTTGGGCATGTGCCCTAGAGCGTATCCTAACAAGTCCTCTCGAAGAGAGGATGAATGGTTTGGGAAGCAATAAGGGAATTTCAGGCCCTGAACTGGAATACCAATGACTTACTATGTAGCCAAAGCCCAGCCCTTTAGCACAGTAATAGCTGTATTCTTTGCAAAGTTTATATTTGAACATAAAGTGAAATTGGCTGTTTGGTTTCTGGTAAGAAAATGAAGAAATATGAAGTTACGCATTTCCACTTTGAGCGTTACTGATGTCAAACAGTTGAATACAGTATCTGCCACCATGAAGTACAGAAACAGAATTCCTAGGCCTTAAGATAATCTAAATAAATCATACTCTTGAAAGAAAGAATGTTAAAAAAAAAAAAAAAAATACTTGGGATAGGGGACTTTGTTCCTCTTAGGGTGCTAAAGAAAACGAGATGGGTGGTAAATACAATTTAACTACAAATAGAAATTTTCTGCTATCAAGATCATAATCTACAGACAGCTGATATTCCTGACTTCTTCCATAAGACAACATGAATGCTTATTAAAGTTACCGAATTCAAGTGTGGGAATTCATTACAAGGAGTTCTTCTGCAGCAAGACAGGTCATGAGTGTAACTTACTTTTATGTTCACTGTGAACCAGGTAGTGCTCCCTGGTTGTAAGGATTTGCAGGTAGTTCGGCTTGATAGTTTGCAGGTTGTGAGTTACTTAGGTATGGATCCCTTTGTATTGTATTGAACCTCATAAACTGCATGTGGTTATTTCCTCTGTAATGATTGGATGGCTGATGCCCCGGCAGTCATTTGAATCTCCCCAAATATGAGCTCATTTAACCCAAATTTTCACCCATGTACAGAGGATGGAGGGACAGTCAGTAGATGTTAAATCTCTCTATTTGATGACTCTATAGTATCAGTATTCTAATAATTAAGGATTCTGTACTTCAGATCTTGATTGCACATTTGATGCTATATATGTAAATGAGAGTCCATTCCAGTAGTTGTTAATTCTTTTTTTTTTCTTATCTTGAGAAAGAAGCCATAGTGGAACATACATTTGCACTGTGCTTCTGACATGCTTGTATGCTTTGGTTTTTTGCAAGTTTCCTCAATTTATCTTGACTTTTACATTGATTAAAAAAAACACATTCATACTTCTTAACAGAACATTCAGGTAGCAAGTGTATTTTTGAAATAACTTGTTGTTTACGCGTGTTTATGCACCAGCTTATTGACAGAGTAGAAGCAGGATCGTGTAAAACTGTGCCATCCTGTCTCTTTTCCTATTGAACAGGTGGTGTCCAGGTACTGACCTGAATAGCA